AAATGCCCAATCCTCAGCCCAGCATACACCAAGCCAAGTAGCTCTTCACAGTAACAGCTACAAACACATTGTTATGGTTTGAATTAAAATAAATTTTGGAAGTTTAGGTAACTGTGGACACTAGTCACAAAGTCTGTGTAAGTATCCTCCAAGATAGCCAGTTCTTTACCTGAGCTAAATCTGTATATGAGCTTTCACACAATTTCTGTATCAAAATGTTCCAAATCAAGGAAGCAGAACAATACAGGAAACAGATGTTTCCATCAACAGATTAAATTCTGCCCTCAGCAGTATTCCCTAAAGGCTGTTTCCTAACATCAAACGTGGCTAACATGTACAAAGCCTGTCTGCAGAATACATGCATGTGGAACTGGAATATATCAAAACTTCTGCTTTGAAAGATGTTTAAGCACTCAGGATTAGTTGGACTAAGGAAATACTTTGTTATGTTCTGTTAGTAAGCGGTAAGCAAAAGTAGTAACATAGGTCCTAAAACCTACATAAATCTTAACAAATACACAAATTTACCAAAATAAAAAGTTATGCAGTTATGTGTTTTCAAACTAAAGCTACATCTAAAACAGAGACATTGATTTTATGAATACAAAATAATTTCAGTTAGATACCATGAACCCTGGAATTCCATTGACTGAGGCAGAACTTCTGTATTAGTCCTATATGCCTCCCTCCTTTTTCAAATTAAAAAAGGAAATCTGCAAAACTTACTTAGAATAATTGGTGAAATTCAGCTGATTCTGCGAATGTATTGGTTTAGTGGGCTCAGAATGATGGCTGGCAGGAACCTGTGCAGATGGCTTATTTTCAAAACTCCTGCGATCAAAGTATGAGAGCTGCTTTCTATAATACTCTTCATCTTCTTCAGGATCATAATGATTTGAACGTACAATATCTTCAGGTGGCTTCACTTGAGGTCTCTGTGGTTCTGGGGCCCTAACCAAGAGTAATAACACACAGTTGTCTTGCACAGCTGAACAAGCATAAGTACCCGAATTAAAATCCTGTTTTATAACGTACCTAGTAATAAAGCAACCAAAATGTAATTCTTATAATTACACACCTTGTCTTTTTAACCTATATTGCATGGAAATTAGCTGTGACACAGCATAAAGAAAATCCTTATTTCCCTTTTACCTTACCTTTTCCCTTTTGCTTTAATTTCCAATTATCTCAATTAAACATATCCAATATCTCCATCTTACTTTTTGCCAAGTGTCTTCATTGAAAATGCAGAAAAAGCATATTGTGTCCTTCCCCTGCTTCTCAGCAATCGTGTCCATGAGAACTGACTTTATGCCCTGCCTTGACACAGAAATCATTGACACGCTCCGACCCTCCACTCTGCAGTTTCCAATTTGAAACACTAAGATGCGTTTTCTGAATAGTCTAATCTTGTATTGAAAACTAAAATTTAATCAATCTGTTGTGCATCTACCTGTAAGTTGTTTTGTCGTGTTCGTACTGGCTTTGAGAAGTTGGTTTTGGACCACTCGCAGTTGTGAGTGCAGGCTTAGGTGCTAGTTCTGGAGGCTGTAAAGAAAAGCACAGCATATTCTTTTAGATTCTAACATTTTAGAAAGATACAGCACTTCTTGAGTAAGAAAACTCAGGCTGCCCTCCCCTTTCCCAAAAGGGAAAAACAGAATTAAATACTAGCAGAAGATGAATTGGAAGAGTTCTCGGCATGTTAAGATCCTCTTCAGAGTTTTCACGGAAGTTTACAACATCTGCTTTTAAAACATACTGCAATTAGGTTGTTAAGAGGCTATTCCACAAGCAGTAAAGCTTTCTTTCTAAAACAGTATTTTATTTGTTACAATGCAGCCTCACTAGCAAAAAGGAAGAACGAAAAAAACAAACTCAAATTACTTACCTTGACAGCTGATGTATCACTTGAGTCCTTCATTTTTTCTAAAGATGGTGATCTTCTTCTTTCAAATATCTTAACCCTACTCCGCACAGACTGTGGTTTCATGGCTGGATCTTCTTCATCCTCTGCTAGAGATGGCGGTGTAGGCAGTGGTTTACTGTTAGAAGGCAAAACTTCTGGTTTGGTTTGTGATGAAGGGGGTGGAGGAAGAGAAACACCTGAAGTGTTATGAGAATGCTCGTATTGTCCAGCTTTAGCATTATAAGCTTGAGGAGGACCTTGTTCATAGCTCCTTATATGTGGATCAAAGTACTGCTTCGGTTCAGGAGATCGCGATATGGCTGACTGGTACGGCTGAGCTTCTTGTTTGTATCTGCCATGCGTGTCATATCCAACAGTATGTTGATCTTCGTATCGCACTTGTGGTAAGCTGAAGTTTTTAGGTGCATGCTCATAGCGGGGTCTGCCATCATAGCTCATTACAGGGGGTTCCTCAAAACGAGGTTGTGCTGGGTAATAGCTGCGTTCTGTGCTCTCTTCTATATTTTGTCTGGAATCAAGATCTCTAGGAGGCTGGTTTTCGTAAGCTGTTCTTGTTTGGTTGTAGGGCTGTTTTTCATCATAATATGCCCAGTGCTCCTCATAGGGAGGCACACGGTCATCATAATGTAGGCGAGGGTCATAACCACGAGAAAATTGATCGACATAGTTTGTAGAATCATACCTATATGTTGACTGTTCATAGTCCCTACTCGGTTGTTTTTCTGCATACTGAGCCTGGGATTCATAGATCAGATTTGGGTCTCTTTCCTGTCTCTGTACTGGGTGATTAATTGGTGGCTGTTTTAAGAGATAGCTTTGCCTGGATGCTTCTTCGTTAATATATGGATCCTTTCGGTATACCTGTTAAAGAGAGAGGCATACTTTCCAGTGAAAGTGAAGAGTAACTGCAGCTACATTTGAAATGTAATATTTTAAACAAACCTAAGTTTTAAATATTGGCTTTAATTTTGTTTAAAGCAGAATTTGATGCAGTTGTTTGCAATCACAGGAAGCTGAAATTGGTGATTCAGGAGATCCCTTCCAGTCGTATCCAGTCTTATTTTTAAACAAACACACATAAGCAGATTAAAAGTGAAAGACAAAGGTAATAGTCTCTCATCTTTAGGGTCTGGTGTTGGAGGGTGGGCGGGGGACACGCTTTTTTGCAGGGGGTGGGAAGAGTAGAAGTAAATCAATTTACATATTTAAGTTAGTTCCAGCATTGCTGGGGAAGTATATAAAGTCACCCAACAAACTGGATTCGTATTCATGATCAAGGATTTGGCATGATTTAAAGTATACAAAGATCTAGTTTCATTTTAAGGAAATAACGTATTTTTCTCAAGGCCTCATTAATAAACAGCAGAACGCTGACAAGCTAAAGAGAATCACGCATAAAGTAAAATCAAAATACAGAATGCAGCCTTTTTTAAAAAATGTAATCTTTTTGAGAAGTGAAAAGTATATAGTCTGAAGCCATGCACACAAAACGTTAGATGATGCTTAGCAATTCAGGTGCACTGGGGTTTTGTGACCTGCATGATCTCTTACAGGAAAAAAAATTAGAAGGAATTTTCCAAATAAGGGCAAATCAAAAAGCTCATGTGCTAGCTTGATGTACAGCAGGAAATCAGCGCAACAATGTGGCACAGGTACCTTTGCTGGATCTATATGCGGCGATAAGGATGATGGCTCTTGATCTCTTAGGACTATATGAGCTCCCTCAGTACTTGATGTTCTTAAGGGGGCCGCTTGTGGTTGATAAGAGTTGTAAGGAGCAGCAGTAGGCTCCTCCAGTCTGACATTAGTCAGGCTTACATTAGCATTTACTGCAGAGGTTGATGAGGTTGCAGGGTTTGATTCAGGCGACGGGGAAAGGTAAGGGACTGCAGGTGAGGCTTCTGCTTTCTGTGAAGTGTTTAAAATATTTTAAATATACCACTATCACTGTATGACTTTATCTTAAAATAATTTAAATGATGCTTTGATCAACGCAGCTAGATGCAGAATGAAATGTACTGAAAGTATCATGCACTAGCACTTCCAGAAATTCATTATGCTGAAGATTAAAAAAGCAAAACATTTAATCAAAGTAGAATGGTACTTCCATACCCCTCCTGTCAGAATGAGTCACTAAAACAAGTAGGGCAAGCTGATTCTCCAGTTCATTATAACATATTATTGCTGTTGACAGATTCTTGTATGCACTCACAATACTGGTAAGCAAGACTATAAACACAGATTTCTCGTCTCAGAGAACTTGCAACCTGATGTAACCATATAGTGGTCTGTATAAAGTTACTTTCTTACCGGCTGAGAAGTAGTTGCTTTAAATCCTGAAGAATCTATTCTGAGATTTGGCTGTGGCTGAGCTTGAGATGCGTAAGTAGGGTAAGTTTGAGTTTCATGATGCATTCCAGAAGAATCCTCTCTAACAGGTTCAGAAGAACGTGTAATAGCAGATTCAGGAGGAGTCCCAACCTCATCATTCAGAGTTTCATCCAGTTCTTGATCAGTATAAGCACCCCCTTCCGTATCTGTGTCTTCATAATCAGATGTGTGTCTACTGTCTGTGCTGTACATAGAATATTCACTACCAGGAGCTGAGAGGTAAGAAAGGCGGTCATCATGTAAATCAAGGTCATCACTTGTAGCACCATCTGCCTGTGTCAAACAAAATTAGAGTATACATTTACTGAGATACCTTTTAAAGAACGTCCTTCTTGCAATGTAAAGCTAGGAAATTTTTTTGTGATTAAGTGAACAAATGGAATGCATCTATCTTGTTCTGAACCCCGACAGAAAGTCTGGTAGTTTAAAAAGTTAGTTATATTCCAAATGCAGCAACACAGCACCAGTATGAGAATTCAAGAATTCTGAATATCACAGGGCAAGAGAAATCAGGTTTCAATTGTTGAAGGTGTTAAGCTTACACCTAAAAGCCTTTTCTGCAGCCTAGCTCTTTATATCATGTTACTAAGGGGTCAGATGACTGTCAGCGTAAGGGAGGGGATAGTGCATAGTGTTCACGGATATCAAAGTGTTCAAACAGATACAAAGCTGTACTTCAAAGCAATATTATGATATGGGAATCACTAGCTTGAAGGTAGATACAAGGAGGTGAAAGGAACTCAGTCTGAACAGAAACAGACCATCAAAATATTAAACCCCATGTAGCAATAGCTGATTCATCATTTGCTTACTTGTAGTTGGCATTTTGCTTGATATTAGTTCTTCAAGAGGATGGATCTAATGTGCATAGTACAACATGCAGCTTGAGAAGGCAAGGGGAGTTTTAGTGGGGAACAAAGAATACTAACTTGTGATTTTGTACCTATGTTCTCAAAACAGAGAACACAGTTCTCAAAGGCTGGAAGGAACATGAATATGCCACTTGCTTTTCTATTAAGGAAAAAAAGACAGACCTCATCATCAGGCAATCCCAGCCCCTAGTACCAATGCAGCAGAACACCTGGAAGTTCCTTCACGAAAAAGCATCCAATCCCCACAGTCTTCAAAGCAATAATATATCCCCCAGTTAACAGTGGCAATGGGCAAATGCTCTCATTTGTTACACTGCTACATACCCAAGGACAACTGTACAGCCCTCATTAACAGAATAACTGCACTAATGCAGGGACAAATTAGTTTTGAGCAGGCATGAAGCATTACTGCATTAGATCTTAAAATGACAGTTAAAATGAGGAGGAAAAAAGGAAAACAAACTTCATTCCACAAGTATCTGCCCACATCTGTAATAGCAGTATGAAAGAATAAAAAACCCTCTCAAATACAGTTTTGTCATTTCTCCCCAGACATATTATTTCTTACCTTTCCTTCTGAAACCCACACTAGTTGGTTCTGTTGTTGCTGAATTGCTTCCTTTAGAGCTCCATACCATCCTTCATTCATTGAATTCAAGTTAATGGTAGCTAGAAGTACAGCAGGTTAGTTTGACTTATGATTTTTACAGAACTATGAGAAGGATCTGTACTACCAGTAATAAAAGCAATACAAACCAGTAGGTTAAAACTATGAGATATAAATAGTAATGTAAACATTAGTATGCAAAGCAACCTTAAGGCCTGATGTTGTTTGGGACATTTTATCCCATAGGAAATACTAACTTAACAGTAGCTTAGAATAAAGTGAGGCTTCAGTTTAGCCAGACTAAAGAAAAAAAGAAATACATCATCTTCCTGTTTATTCAAATGTTTGATTTTGGCTGATGATCCTGCAAAGCCACCTGATTATTAGAAATGTAATTTTGATGTTTCAGATTGCTTTAAGTTTGTGCAAACAACACACACATCAATGAACTACTGGTTATTGAATGGGGGAGCCTGAACAAGTCAACAACTGCTTGACTTGGTCCATTTGCAGGAAAATCTGGAGGAAAAAGTTACTCTCACCCCACCTCCACCTCCCTCTCAAATAAACTGGATGACTATTTCTAATTACTCACTTGTAAAGAGATGGTGATTATTTTTGCGTAGCTTGTGAGCTCTTTCATACAGTTTTCTGGCACTTTTTCTTGATTCTGGGCACAGTCTCATTCTCATAGTCTTTACACCCTGCTTAGAATCAGGATTTAGGAACACTACAATAGGATACCACTGGGCATAATTCAGACGGTCCACTGCATTAGGAGTGACGTCTAATAAAGCATGTTTGTCCTGTTGTGATAAAAAGGAAAGAAGCAAGAAAGTGAATCACTTATATACTAGATTTATTTTTTTAAACATCCTCAAATTTATTTTGTATTACCTTTACAGAGTTCATTGTTTCAAAGTATTGATTTAAATTCTTTTAATATTTAAATAATAGAAACGAAACCAATTCCAATATGAGGCTACACAGGCATGTACATTTTGAACTGTAGGACTGACTACAAAACTATGAACTTTTTAGTATTTAACTCCCTAGTTAAGAAAAAAAAAATCTCCTCAAAGTAATCAGGCACTAAAAATGTTTCCTATTAGTATTCTGCTAATAGGAAAAAAGTAAAGACTGAAACACAAGACCTAGTCTCATTACACACCTCCATCTTCCTTTAAAAAAAACAACCAAAAAAAAAATCAAACATCAAATCCCAAATCCACTCTGAATGCAAGAACTTGGCCAGCTTTCATCCAGTGCAAGATTATCTCAAGCACACAGCACGCAGTATCCCCAGTTGGCTGCTAGAATAGGTCCCCCCCTCCACCACCACTTGGGCATCTGAAAGGCTTGCAGTTTGTTTTTAAGTAACGAAATAAAACATTGAGGAGTAGAGCCTCATAACATGAACTAATGTCATAAGTTTTAAGGATATTAAGGAAGTGAGATTGAACGACCCTTTCCCCTAGACCTCGCACACAAAAAATGACGTCAAGTTACTAATTTTTAAATTGGGGTGGGGAAAAACTAATGACTCCATAAATAAAGCAACAATTTCTAGCTGTAATGTCACACCGTGGCTTTAAGTGGAAGAGGAAGCAGCTTAAAACAGTATTAATGGAAAGAGGACAACACTCCCTGGAACAAAGCCTAGAATTGCTTTAAGGCTGCAGTTATCATGGAGAAGGAAAAGGGTGGTAGATTATTATTTTTTTAATTAACCAATAGAAAGATGAGAAAGTTATTTTTAAAGCAAACACACTCTTCAGCTATTCTTCTACATTTAAACCACCCAACACTTTACTTGATGATACCAGTTTCACTCCTCTTGTGTTAAAGTACAGCAACAATAATAGACTTACTCTATCGATTATCTGTTTTATAGTGTGAAGACGAATAATGCCAGAACTACGTTGGTCAGTACCAGCATCTCTTGGTTCACTTTCTGGTAAAGAGGACAGTAAAAATCTGTTGTAAGTTTACAACATATTCTACATTCCCTTATTAATGCATAACAAACCATTTCACAGCTCAAATTGTCAATTCAGATTGAAGACACACTTCCTACTTCAAAATAATACATGAAAGCGTACCCACCAATTTGGCCATAAAAGTCACATCATCTTTAGAAAAGCACTTAGAAATAGGCTAATAGGGTACTGAATTAAAATGAAATTTAAGGCAGCTATCAATAGAACTAATATTACTTTTACCTTCAGAGAGTTATCAGCAACCAAACAGTGAAAGAGCTTACATTTAGTCTGCACCTTTACATTGTCAACATCTTGTTAAACATGTTAACAACTAAAGAATGTAGAAACGAACAACCTAGCAAAAGTTGACTATTTTGTAACTACAGAAAAGCCTGATCTCACACTTACTTGCAATTTGAAAGATATCTGGTTCTTCTCTAGCAAGTTTCTCCCGTGCAACATCAGCTATTGGACCAAAAATGGTTACAGGTCTGAGGAACCCAGCTAAAATTCAAGGGGAAAAAAAAAGTCAAAATATGTTGATTACTTAGAACAAATGCAAGCTACTCTTAAACACATAGGTAATACAAAGCAAACCACACAAACCTGTTAGCCTGCAACAGTAAGAATAAAGCCGTACCTTCCCGAAGAACAACTCTTTCGTAGGCAGGAAACTTTGTCTGAACGGGTTGGGCAGAAAGATCTTCTCTGCTTTTTCGGAGATTTCTTTTTGAGCTACGCAAACCTCGGAATCTCCAAAAATCCGCTCGATCTCCTCCTGCTGTCTTTGGAAGTGTGTACTGTACGCTAGCTAGTTGCTCAGCTCTAAGATGACAACAAATCCCAACCAGTTATCAAGTCAGCTTCTGAAGTAATGCTTGACTAGCAAGCTTATACTTCCAAAAACCACTATCACCTGCTGAATCAAGCTTCCACTGTGTCTGTATTAGAAAGTACAAGATTGAACTACTGAGGCTGATATCACATTGCTGAAACTTTTGTAGCCTTGTCTCTAGTACTGAAAAGAAAGTTTTCAGTTTTACTGTGGACTGCACAAGAGTCAAAAGCAAATCCACAGATCAGATATTTAACTTCAATTTGTTTTAACACTTTGTCACTTCTTCTGACTGAACAGTTCTATAAAGTAGTGTCCTGCAGACAAGTCAAATCATTCATTACAGATGTAGAATTTAAAACTGCAGTTTTCAGACAGCAATTTAAGTATTTTTAGATCGTACCTGTTTTTGTTAGGTATGATACCTCTTTCAACTTCCTTATGATTCTTGCCAATTCGAATTGCCAGCCATGAACCCAGTTTGCCATTGTACAGAGTGTCCACCACCCGGAACACTTCACCTTTGTTGAAACTTAGTCCATAAGGAGATTCCTTTTCATATTCAAAATGAGTTCTGATATAGAAAGAATCCCCTACATCAGACTCAACAATGCGACGATAAACTGAAAAAACAAAAAGAAACCGCAAAATATAGTGTTACGTAAGTTCAAGTGATGTCCTATTGCTCACAAGAATTACTCAAAGCAGTGCCTCACCTTAATTCTCCTTGTTTTAAAATATACAGTATTACTTCAAGAAGCCTTAATGTCTCAGGGCTGCTCTATTTTAAGCAGCATAACTATTAATAGAAAACTCTACCAACATAAATTCAACTTTCACAGTCAAAAATGTGGTGTTAGCGCAAGGTTAACATTCTTCATAAGGTGCCAATTTCCTGCGAGGCAGAAGTTAGTCATCATTTGCTATACTTTTTGTGCTGTTCCAAGCAGTCTACTGCATTGCTCCCAATATACAAATATTTACCGTCTTTTTTCTTCTGTGCCAAAATGGTTACTTCTTCACCTTTCGGAAGATCAAGCAAAAAAAGGACAGCTTCTTCTCTGATGATATTTGTGAAGTCTACGTTATTTACCTGGTATCAATGAAGTAATCAGTTTGATTTAGCATACAACATTACAACAGAGATTTAACTTTATAATGGGAAATTTAAATCAATTTCTTGCTATGATTTTGTTTCATACATACACACCAAGCGCATGTATCTGAAGATGTACCTTGTACCTTTAAATAGTCTCACTTTATTTCTTGATAAAAGCATAGCTTCCAGAATAATAGGTAGTTCTTCATTTTATATTCTTTAGCTCAATACTATGGAGCACTTCTAAACATTAATAACATACAGAGCCCTCTGTCAATTTAGTGACTCAACAGTTAAAAAAACCAAACAACTTCATCAACTGAATTAGTCTAAGAAATTATAAGTAAAACTTACTAATCTTCCTAGCAACAGTACAGTAATAGGAGATTTTGCTGCTATTATCTAGTAAGTACATACAGAAAAAAAAATCTGTATGAACTACAAAGGCAATATATTCAACAATACAGAAGGAAAACCTACTTTGGTACAACAAAACATTTGTACTGTTATTGGTTCTGACATACCCTGAGAATCTGGTCTCCTTCCTCTAATCCTTCTTTTGCTGCAGGGCTGTCTTCCAGAACACCAGCTACAAATATACCAACATCGTTGCCACCTGCTAGTCGCAAGCCCACACTGTCTCCTTTTCTGAATTTTACCAGTTTCATGCTTGGCCTGGAGATTTAGAAAATATTCCACTTAGAAGTGTAATAGCGTAAAATATCTTGGTAATTTGAGACTGAACACATGCAAAGAACCAATTAGCCTATTGTTTAAATTAGATGATATTATGCTATGCATACCGTTAACTGCTTATCAACTGCAGCATTACAACCCACTCATTAGCAGCACTTTGAAAAACCCACCTGTATTTACTTGTTTAGTGGGGTTTGTTTGTCTTATGCTCATACAGTGATTTAAGTGAGGCACTTTGACACACTCTTCCAAACTTGTTCCTCCTATTAAAAGGACTGTGCTGGCATATAGATCTATTTTGGCTCTAAAGAGATTAGGATGAATTTGAGATGAAACCAAACTAGAATCTATTCTCATGCACACTCATGTCCCTAAAGGAGATCATGGTTGAAGTACGCTCATTTCCACATCATGACTTTGCACATTTCTGCAGTCACCTTAATAATTGGAGAGCAATGAATAATGAAAGGAAGAGAACATGCTACAGTATCTCTCCTCCTTCTGGAGACGTGGACAGGGCAGGAGACGTGAGGGTGCCCAGGGAGAGATAAAACACCACAAATTCTTATCAGCAGTTGATCATTGTAACTGCTCATTTCCATAGAAAATTAATAGATTTAAAAATGGTATATTACACAATATAAGTGCCAACAAGGCTCAGGAATAAACCTGAAGCCTTCATCCTAATATTTCTGAACAGAAGCATCAGGTCAGCACACTGGACTTTACATCAGACCATTTATACAGGTTATTTATCACCTTGCATAAAAACTTGGTTTGCTCAAGGACCAGACAGATTTTGAATAGAGTTTAAAGTTACATTACCGTAGCATTCCATCTTCATGGGTTGAATTGGGTAAAGGACCATCGGATGGACTGACTGGTAAATCCACATCTGGCTGACCTCCTTGTGCATACACTGGCTTTGGTTCTATTAAAATATCAAAAGATTTCAAGTGTCCGTTTGGTCATTTAAAGATGAGAAAGTAAAGCTTAACTTAAGAGCTTTATGACTTCTTCAGTAGCCTTCCTCTACTGTACTTAAACTGACTTAAAGCTGAAAGTCAAATACTAGAAACTTAGAAGACACACTCACCATGCCATTCAAAGCAGCATGATTACTGGCCTAATTATTACTTCAGTAAATATCCCAAGACTTCCTTTGTACTTCATTAAGTACTCTGAACACCATAAAACGACAAGAACTAGAAGGCTCCATGCTCACAAAACCTCCTTCAACCCTGCTGTTTCTCACCTTGATTTATCTGACTTAACTTGCTCATTTTCCATTGGCTCTCTTCCCTCAAGAATTCAATTTTGGAAATGAAAATACCACAAACACTTGAACTACTGCTGCATGCCTTTAGGTTGGCAGATTTTTGTCCTTACCATATAGTAAAACATCATTTTAAGTCTTTAGTGACCCTTTCCTAGCCTAAGCCTCTGATGATCCCCCTGAACAAATACTCTCCTTCCACCCTCCCTTGACACAATCAACCATGACAGTCATCTCGCCCTTAGTCTAAGCAGCAAACTGTCACAGAATTCGCCAACTACTTTTCTAACCACATTTTCATTACAGTCTTTGAAAGATCCTAATTTCCCTAGAGCTTTCTGTGAGGCTGTTAAAGGATTATGCCCTTTATTGCACCTTATTATCTCAGACTATGTATTACAGCAAGTTAATTTTATCTGCAGATACTAAATTAAATGTTATCTTTACATACTGGCCTGCATGTCCTCCCATCCAAACTAAGTGTTTCCATGTGCCTCTTCCCATTCACTCAAGAACAGAGCATTTCTTCTTCCTCACTAACCAACAAAACCCCCACAGTACTTATTACTTGCTTGCCAGTCCCTCAAACCAATTATTACTACATTACTCTGGATTAAGAACCATCTCAAGGGTCTCCTATCCTGGCTAGCTTTGTATTATGACAATTATTTATCTTCTACAGAATTCATCTTTCTAATCTCACTACCACACCCTTTTTTTATCTTGGCAAAAATAAACTTAGCTCATTTGCATCTTTTCATAACACCACTGCAAAAGGTCACCTCCTATGACAATTTTTAATCACGTCTGCTGCATCAGATAATCTATTGTTCTCATTTTCAAGATCTTTCAGAGCCTATCAACATCATAACTCTTCCAATTTGTCACCAAGCTAACGAATACTACATGCAGAAGTATCACTGCTCATCCCTTAAGTCTTCAAATATTTTCAAGCTGGAATGTGCTTTTTCTCACTCTATCCAGTCTTTCAAGAAAAGCTCCCTCTAAACCATCTGCATAGCTCCCCCTTTCTCCACAAGTGTCTCAGTCTGTAAACAACAATCTTAAGTCAGCCTGCCTAGAACAGTGTCCTGGCACCATATAATCTTATGTTCTTTCTTTCTTTTTTATACCAACTGGCTTTTATCTGCTGCCATTAAGCTTATTCTTCCCTTTTGGAAAAAAGGAAGGAGATTTTGTTCCAGTTTTATTAGTTGTACTGCACTTGTTAAAATGCTTTCTTGGTCCATGACTGTAGTAAGTGCTACAGTAACAAAGCATTTCAGAGTGGTTTCAGTTGTGTCTTTGGAACAGTAGTTCTAAACAGGCTTAGCTACACCCTTGTTTAAATACAGTCTGCTACCGTAACCCAAAAGAACCAGTTTACTGATTGACTCTCAGAAAAAGAGATGACAGATTTTGACCTTGCTTGAGAAATCAGGACAAAAAACTCTTTACAACCATCACCTATAAATACAGCTCTAAACACTGAAGTTTGACCCCTGTATAATTGGCAGACCTCACAGCTTGTGTTTTCAGGACTGAAACTAAGATATAAATGGGGTTACAGTTACAAAGACTGATCGTATTCAGAAATAAAAATAATTAGGACTTGGTCTGACTCAAAACTTTAGAAATCATTCCACAAATATGCAATGGTATAAAATCTTTACTGGTCATCCATTCTCAACAACATACATAATTTTTATATATATATATATTTAA